AAAAAGCTAAGGTTTGTTTTCTCATCAGGAAATGCAGACCGGCTCAAACAAAAGATTTTTAAATCATCATCCTCACGATCATTTAATGTATCATATGTTCGCCGAATTGACATGAAAGCACTAATAAATGTAGTTTCATCCACTTGAGTTTACAAAAATAATCGATTTGTTTTTATATCACATCCGACGGGAGGAAATTCAGCAGCTCTCACTACCGATTTTTAATCCTAATTTAATCATCATCTTCACCACGATCATTTATGTTTATGTTCGCCGAATTGACATGAAAGCACTGACAAATATGAATATACTGTAGTCAACTTCATTAAAACGTTATTAACGTGCCTAAACTCATTAATTCACCATTTCTACGCATGACAACACACTTTGTCCGTGTTTGGCTCTCTCGCCGCACAGTGAAGCGTTCCCGCATTGACGTCACTTCCGGCTTCCCCCAAAACCTCAAAATGAGTCGAAGGAATTTTCCCGCGATATTCGAAATTATTGATATTTATCGGAACGGTATCGCTTTTTCTTTTTTAAACTGACGGTTCGAGATTACTAGTAGCCCACTATTTCATTGCACAACAGTTGTTGGGTTCGTGTCAAAGGCTCTTTAAGGCCTCACTGCAATTAGCCTTAGCGGCGGTAAAGTGAAACCATGTGTAGTTTTTTAATAGCTATTTAATACAACAATCTTAAAAGTGGTGTTGGAATGAGAAGAAGAAAATTGGTTTATATAAGAAACGTCCCCAAATGAAATAAGATCAAGTCTAATAATAGGAAGAATTTATTTCTAATATATTCTTGACAGTACTGTGACTTGTAGCTACGAGCTGAAGCGCTGAGAGTGTGTTGTTCTTTTCTCAGGCCCGGTGGTGGGCCAGCGTCCGGATCACCACCCCTCCTCCACCTCCCCCATGATCTCCGCTGCAGCCTCAGCAGCAGGACCCCCACTGGTGGCCTCACCGTACCCCCAGTCCTACCTGCAGTACGGTCAGATGATCCAGACCCTGCCCCCCCATTTCCACGGACAGGTGCGCTCAATAATCAGCCTTTTAATCATAAAGTGAAAACAGACCCACGGTGAGGGTTTTTATTATTACTGTGGAACAGGAGACGGCAGAGAGCGTTCGTACTTTTTAAAGCAAACTCAAAACCCTCCTTTTTAATATTGCTTTTAACTGAGTTTTATTTTATTATGATTTATTTTATTGTTATTTATTTTTTAAATATATGGTATTAAGTCATATTTGTTCATCACAAAGCTATGTGTTACCTGGGAAGGGGGTGCTAGTATTGTTTTTAAAACTTTATTTACATGTTTTAATTTTTCTTCTGTGTTTTTTATCATTACCAGCCAGTTTACTCGATGCTTCCGGGGGGAGCAAGGATGCTGACATCAGGGGCTCCCCCTCAGCAGATGGGGCCTCCTGGGGGCCAGTACCCCGGCCAGGCTGAGAGCCTGCAGGGGCAACAGCAGGCCATGTATGGTAAGCAGAATTATACTTGATTAATTATACAAACACTAGAATGATGTTTGAGATGTACTGTCTGTAATGACAGGCTCAGCAGATCAGGGATCAGTAGCTGCTTCTTAAGGAGTGTCAAAGTAAATTCCTCTGTTTTTGTTTTTGTCTCTCAGCTCAGTCGTTCTCTCACCACTCGGGCGCCATGCATCACCCTCAGCCCTCCAGCACCCCCACTGGGAACCAGCCCCCGCCCCAGCACTCAGCCCCCAGTCCAGGACACAATCAGGTAACGCTGCACCCACATTCATAGGGACCAACAGCAAGACGAGGACATTTTAATTCAACTTTTCAGGCAACATTTTACAATCATAAAACAAAGAACAATACTGTTTTGCACTTTTTGAAACTAATTTATTTCGTCACAATGCTTTTTTGGCGTTTGAGTTGCAAGAAGCAAATTTTTCTGAGAATTTGATGGAAAAAAGTGTAAATAAAATATAAATTCTATTATAATAATTTATAATTAAATAAGTAAATATATATACATATTAATTACTTAGTTGTTATTTTTGAAATAATGAGACTTTATTTGTATTTAGTATTTCAAATAATGCATTACTAAAATAATGACTTGGAATTTAAAATAATAAAATATGGGAAAAAATAAATAAAGCTGTAGTTTCAGTTTGTTGTCTTTTAATGGCTGAAATGGGCTTCCATAGGATTAAGATAACTTGCAAAATAGGGAAATAATGGGAGACTATTCTTCAAAAGTGCAGCATAAAGATGTATTTTTGTGTGATGCCCTTATGAGCAATCGTCTCCTCCTGGTTTGATTAGTCTTGCTTTTTAAATGTTTCTTAAACTGTGTTTCCCCTCAGTCGAGTCAGGCTGGCCCTCAGCCTCAGAACATGTTCCACACTGGAGGTCTGTCGGCCTCCACCCCTCCTAACATGCAGCCGGGCCACAGCTCCCCCCAGGCCTCCTACGCCATGCAAGGCTACAGCCTACCCACCCACCAGGCTCTGCCCCACGGCTTCCCCTCCATCAGCCAGCTCACACAGGTCAGTGAGAGGGAGGGACTCGAGTCTGTGTGAGGGTCACAACTCTCTCTTTATACCTTTAGTTCACTACATTTAAAACATTCATTTTGCACTTTGTACTCCACTACATGAATCTGACTGCTTTAGATTTTCTCACAGTTTTACATCCCCTTCCTTTATCAGTATTGATACAAATAAATCAATGAAGGGGGAAATTAAGGAAACATATATATATATATATATATATGAGAATGATTCCAAAGATACATAAAAAAAGTAGCAAGGTAAGACAGAAATATCAATCTTATTATTATTACTTTAAGTACTCACACAGTACTACATTTTACTGTACAATAAAAACAATTCTTCAGTAAGGTTTTGAACTTGTAGTGTAGTATCTTACAGTATGGTAGTAGTATTTTTACTGCAGTAAACAGTCTCAATACTTCTTCCCTGACGTTAACCTTTAATCTCAGTTCCTCACATGGTGTCCTTTTTGTCCACCCCAGGCTCATGTAGCAGGAGGCATGGCGGGCCCCCACCACTCTGCTGGCCACGGCCTGCCGCCCGTCATGCTGCACTACGTCTCCCCTCAGCAGGGCGGGGGCTCCAACCCCCAGCACGGCCCCCAGCAGGGGGCCCCACAGCACTTCTACATCGGACACCCCCAAGGTAAAAAGTCCCCACCTGAACCAGAGCAGTTTGGGATTTTGTTCTGAAATGTTCTGCAACGCCTGGTGATTATGACGATATGTTGGGGGGAAATTGTGCGTATTTTCTTATTCATTTATTTCTATACCTTCACTTTTCTTACTTTATTGGCATTTATATGACATAATATTTAATACGTAGAATATGATTAGTTTTTATGACATATTTGACATATTTCATGGTGATATTTCTGACTTTTTTTAAATAAATTAAATGACTTTTTAAATACTTTACTACTTTTTGAATTTGAAAGGTCATTGTATAGTATGAATTTGACTAAAGTAACATCTTTTTTAAATCTTTATTTATATACATTATGATTTAATTAATTATTATGTAACACTTATAGTTTGTTTAACACTATTATTTGGTTTTTATTTGAACAGATAAGTGTAATGCAAATAGAAAATGTTGTCATGTTTTGGAAGATGATTAAAAACCAACAAAAGAATGGAATATATATATGTTCTGTTGTGTCTCCAGCTGTCCAGGTGCAGGCTCACCCCTCCCAGCAGCTGTCCTTCCACCCCTCTGCAAACTGAAGCCCTCCCTCACCGCTGGATTCAGGAGGAAGAAGAAACCCCCCCCACCCCAAAAAAAATATCCCCAAGCAACTTGTAACATTCCCACCTCCTGACACCAAATTAACACTATAATTTTTACCCACCTCATCTTTTAGACATGAAGACGTTTCTGGATTTTTAAGTGTAAATACAGACTGTTTTCACTCGGAGCTGGACTGAAGACGGTAACTAGTGGAATCATTTAGACTGACAACAGTGGAAACA